CACAATTGCTTTGAGGATACAAAGCACTAAGCTATTCAGTAACATTTTGACAATAGAAAAAAAGTTGGAAAGACCTTCAACAACACCAAGGACACAAATATTATTAGCAGGTTGGGGAAATTATATCCTGATTTAAACATTGTGTATCTGATCATCATGAATGGATTTCCACTTGCTAGAAGTTCTCCTGGTGCATCCTGATTTGTTACCTAATGGTTTATGGTTCTACAACTCGCGACTTTGAGCCTATATACTTGCTTTATTCATTTGTTGTGGGAAACTGAATTCGAGTTCACTTATCACCCTTGGAGCAGCAAAACCGGAACTATTATGTAACTTCACTGATCCTGTCATAATTGACTAAGCTGGCATAAAAGATCAGATCCTTTTAGAGATAGGAAAAATACTTTTGTTCTTGCATGTATTATGCAAGTAGGAACAATTATAAGACAGTGAGATTTATTTTTACCTTTTCAATTGACTTCTTTGGTCTTGCCTTCCATTTAACTATATGAGGAGCTTAAGACAGGTTATAATCACCCTAACTTTAGAGACAAGAAACAGGTAAGGAGAGAGAGAGAGCAGATCTCTAGTGGCAAAACAGAGCAGATTGAACTCAGTGCTTTGGTAATTAACAAGAACTCACATCCTTGCCAGCCTGACCTGGCCTCTCCACCTTGGCTCCCACACAGGTGTTGCTCCCTGAATGTAATTGAAAGTAATGAAACTACATGTGTCTAAACTCTCAATTAATTGTTCTGTGAATTCCAAGTCAATCTGGAAGATGTTAGTGTATTTTGTTATTCCTAATGAGACTTCTCTATTAAGTAATTCAAGGTAATTTACATCGTGTATACAATTTAGTTAACTGCATTTCCTTTGGTGGTGATAAATAACTACTGAAATATATATAATGACCATAGAAGGGCTGGTGGTATTATTCAGCATCCACACTTCACTGCTTTTTTTGATGTACTTTGTTTTTCTATGCTATACAAATGTGTGTTTTTGTTTGCTATTATGATGACTAAAGGCTGTTTTCGGGGCTGGGTGCAGTGGCTCACGCCTATAATCCCAGCACTTTGGGAGGCCGAGGCGGGTGGATCATGAGGTCAAGAGATCGAGACCATACTGGTCAACAAGGTGAAACCCCGTCTCTACTAAAAATACAAAAATTATCTGGGCATGGTGGTGTGCGCCTGTAGTCCCAGCTACTCAGGAGGCTGAGGCAGGAGAATTGCTTGAACCCAGAAGGCGGAGGTTGCGGTGAGCCGAGATTGTGCCATTGCACTCCAGTCTGGGTAACAGCAGCGAAACTTCGTCTGAAAAAACAAAAAAAAAAAGGCTGTTTTCATATCTCAGATTATGAGAAGGATCAGTCTGTTACACTGACCACATTAAACAAACTGTTGTGAATAACTTATGCTAATGTGGTAGGGCTGTATTTTAGGAATGCATTTAAGGATGCAATCTCCCAGCAGAAAAAACAGTCAGTAAAAAATATGAGGCTGCTTAATGCTACTGTCAGTAAATTGTGCAGCAGTAATCAATAGCCCCATAAGAAACTCATGGCTATGGCTGGGCACAGTGGCTTACACCTGTAACCTCAGCACTTTGGGAGGTGGGCAGACTTGAAGTCAGGAGTTTGAGACCAGCCTGACCAACATGGTGAAATCCTGTCTCCACTAAAAATACAAAAAAAAAAAAAAAAAAGGAAGAAAGAAACTTATGGCCAGCTAATACCAGATAGAGATTACTCATCTCTATTTTAGTATTTATTTTTATTTTTATTATGTTTCTTTTTTGAGACGGAGTTTCACTCTTGTTACCCAGGCTGGAGTGCAATGGCGCCATCTCGGCTCACCGCAACCTCGGCCTCCTGGGTTCAGGCAATTCTCCTGCCTCAGCCTCCTGAGTAGCTGGGATTACAGGCACGCTCCACCATGCCCAGCTAATTTTTTGTATTTTTAGTAGAGACAGGGTTTCACCATGTTGACCAGGATGGACTACGATCTCTTGACCTCATGGTCCACCCGCCTCGGCCTCCCAAAGTGCTGGGATTACAGGCTTGAGCCACCGCGCCCGGCTATTTTAGTATTTCTAAAGGTGTTCTGAATCCTGAAGCAACCAGAATTGGTTCTCTTACAACCATTTTGGGTATTTGTGACTTGGAAGTGAGGCACCAGTGCTCACAGGGCATGCTTTAAGAACTTATAGTGGCTGGTCAGCTGGAAGGAAGATAGGAAGCATTTACTAAATTCACAATTTTGTACAACCATCTCCACTATCCCATTCCAGAACATTTCATTGGCCCACAGGAAACTCCATGCCCATTAAGCAGTTACTTTCCAACACTCCCAACCCCCATGCTTGAGAACCAGCAATCTGCTTTCTGTCTCTATAGATTCTGGACATCTCACAAAACGGAATCATACAAGATGTGGCAGCCCTTTTTGTCTGTCTTTCACTTAGCACAATGTTTTCAAGTGTCATCCATATTGTAACAAATTTCAGTACTTCCTTTTTATGACCAAATAATTTGTTGTACCACATTTTTTTAATCCGTTCATCAGGTGGCATGTATTTTAGTATTTTAGTTGTTTCTGCCTTTTGGCTATTGTGAATAGTGCTGCTATGAATATTCATATATAAGTTTTTGTTTGAACACTTGCTTTTAATACTTTTGGTAGAAAGTATAGGCATTAATTTCTGCTAACTCAAAAGGAGGTGACCAAATATCCTAAACTCTTCAACCATTCAACAAATATTTACTGAAAACCTACTCTATAGCTGCCTAGAATGCCAAGCCCTGGGAATACAAAATGCAATGAATAAGGCAGGCATCATCCCTGTCCTCCTTGGACACAAAATTAACACAAAATTCAATAAGTGAGTAAAACAGACTTGACAGCATTTAGGATAGGAATTCCTTTTCTATATGCTATTAAAGAAAAGTAAAAGCTGGTCACAGAGCACCTGGGCAAGATGCTCTAACTGAATGCTTTCAGATGAAACCAGCAAACAACTAAGTGCAGTCACATCTGTCTCCTTACATCATAAGCCTCAAGTAGAGAGGTTCCCAAGTGGGTCCAGTGGGCAGCTCAACATCATCAAGGATCTAGGCTTTCTCCATTCTTCTGCTCTGCAATCCTCCTGGCCACACTAAGGAACAGCCACCGCAGGCATCATGTCCTCTCACGGAACAAGGACCAAGAAACAGAAGTGGGGGTTGAGAGTGTTGGAAAGTAACTGCTTAATGGGCATGGAGTTTCCTGTGGGCCAATGAAATGTTCTGGAATGAGATAATGGAGATGGTTGTACAAAATTGTGAATTTAGTAAATGTCACTGAATTGTACACTTTAAAATTATAAAAATAGTAAATTGTATGCGTATTTTATCTCAATGAACCAGAATCCCTGCATGCACTAGAAACCAACCACACTTGAGAAGCACTGCTTCAGGCCAGAGTTCTCTTTGGCATCTTTGAACTGGTCATCACCAAACCACAACACCAAGATTCATTCTCAACCCCTTCTTAGGTGCAAGAGAAACTTTCCCAGAATACTTCTCAGATCCGTTCTGCCCAAATTGCCCCACGGCCTATTCCTAAGCCAGTTACTAAGAAGGAATTGGAATCAGGTGCTGTGAATAATTTATGGTTAATCAAGTTTGAGGCTGGAAGGGGCCGCTTCTTCTGGGGAATATGATGCCTGAACAAAATACAGGCTCTGGAAAAATGTAAGAGGGAAAAAGAACGGCTGTAGGATAAGCAGCCAAGCGTGTCTGCATCGGTGCCCATGCAAGATTTCCTGGAGAAAGTCCAGTCCAGCGTTCTCTAAACTCCAGGCCTCAACTGAGTATCTCAAAAGAAAACAAATATCCAAACCTCAACGTGTCCAAGACTGAATTCATGATTCTCATGAAAGTAGTCTCTTCCAATGGTGACTAATACTACCACCAGATGCTGGAGCCAGGAAAATAAGAGTCACCATACCTTCTTCCTCATCACTACATCTAGCTCATCACCAAGTCTCTGAATCCTCCACTCTCTTCACCTCCACCTCTACCAACCTAATCCAAGTCACTATCAGCAATTCCCTGGAGCTTTGCAACAATTGTGTTTGGCTTCCCTGCATCCATTTGTATTTCTCTCCAAAGTATTAGTTCACAGTGCAGGTCGGGTGGCCTTTTCAAACCCAAATCTGCTCATGTTCAAAACTTGCTTCCCACTGCTCTTAGAATAGGGATGGACGACTTTGAGCTTGAATAGGCTGTGCATACCCCACCTCAAGACTGCTGCACTTGCTGTTCCTCCTCCGGCCCCTTGTCACCCCCTCTCTCAGCTTAACTGTCACTTCCCAATTAGGTCAGGTCCCTCTGCTGCAAGCCCGTAGAGAGAGCTCTGCGCCTGTCCTTCAGGGCACTTTTTCTCCATCTACAGACTCAGACCTGTGCAAACACGGAGCTAGTATTTCCCACAGCATAACGCCTGGCACACGGTAAGTGCGCAATATGTAGCTGTTGAGCGGCTAAATGTATGCATAAGCTCAAAGCAGAGTGGCCGATAACAAGTACGGACGCAGTCCGGGGAGAACACGCACGCAGCCGAGCCCCCACCACCAGTCCGCGCCGCCGGGACAGCGGTGGTGTCTCCGGCCAGTAGCTCCGCCCCTGGGCCCCGCCCCTCTGTACTGCGCGGAGGGGGCGGGGCTCAGAGGTCGCGTGACGTAACAGCAGCCGGTCGGTGATTGGGCCTCCCGGAGAGCCGGCTCGGAAAGGGGGCGTCTCCCCGCGCGCTGATTGGCTGTCGGGCGAGGCGAAGCGGGTGGTGGCGGCGGCGGCGGCAGCGCGGGGGCGGGCGCCGGGAGGGGCCGGGCCGGGTAGGGCCCGGAGGGCGGCGGCGGCGGCGGAGCAGCGGCCGGCATGGGTCCTAGCCGCCAGCTTCGCTGAGACGCGCTCGCGTGGGCTGCCCGCCCGGGACCACTGTGGTCGTGGCGGCATGAAGGGCGCTCTGGGGAGCCCCGTGGCCGCAGCCGGCGCCGTGATGCAGGAGAGTTTCGGCTGCGTGGTGGCCAACCGTTTCCATCAGCTGCTGGACGACGAGTCGGACCCGTTCGACATCCTGCGCGAGGCCGAGCGCCGGCGCCAGCAGCAGCTGCAGCGCAAGAGGCGCGACGAGGCGGCGGCGGCGGCCGGGGCTGGTCCCCGCGGCGGCAGGAGCCCGGCCGGGCCCTCTAGCCACCGAGCGAGCGCGGGCGGCCGGAGGGAGTCGCAGAAGGAGCGCAAGACCCTCCCGGCACCTGGCGCTCAGGGGCCCGACAGCCCTGGGGGCGGCCTGCAGGCGCCGGGTACGCAGTGGGGAGCTGGGGAGCGGGCCACGGCGCGCCCCGCTGTGAGGCTGGGGTCCCGGGGCCGGTTCCTGGAGGCGGGGCTAGGGAAGAGCCGGGAGAGTTGAGGGTCCTGGTGGCCGCCGAAGGTAGGAGGAGAAGGGCGGGGATCACACCCCTTCCAGCCCTCACCAGCCGGTTGCGGAGCTCGGGGGAAGCGCAGGCGGGGTGGGGTGAGGTGGAGCCCCCAAACCCTGGCACTGAGCCTTTACGGCAAGTTGGACAAAGTTGAGGGAGGTTGCTGGGGTGGCGTGTGGGGGCGAACGCTGAGGTCGCTACCCTGGGGCGCGCACATCCAAGCTGGCGGGGTCCTTCTCCATCCTCCAGCTCAGCCTCTGCAGGATTGAGGTCGGAGCCACCCGAGAACGCGGTAGGGAAGAGGAGGGCGCCCGACCCCGGGGCTGGAGGTCTCTGTGATGCGGGAGGCCTGGGCGACCGCAGGGCGGCCTGTGACGTCCGGGTCCGGGAGGGGCGGGCGGGGGTCCCTGGCGCCGTCCGGCCTGGCGCCTTCGCCCTTTCCCCGTCCGGGAGCGTCCAGCAGGCAGCGGGCATCGTATTTCAGTACTTCGTGTGGTGTTGATGGGATGTGGAACTTATAAATAACTTAAGGCCGCTTTAAGAAAAGCGTTTTTTACCTTTCCATCAAGAATATTCGGAGTTCCCTACTCGCTGTTTAGCAGGCAAAACCAGTGCGCAGCGTGGTGTTTTGCTGCCTGCGGTCGGGGAGGGTGCTTGAGAGTTCATTCTCTCACCTGAACTGCGTCAGTGGCAGAGCCCGCAACACTCCGCCTGTGTTTCCTCTGTTTTCTTTAAATGAGACAGCGGTCCCAAGATTTGCAGAGTGTTAAGATTAAAATGTGTAGTTTGGCCACTCCTGCCAACGTTTGGCAGTGTGTTCAACTTCGTTTTATTCGTTTGTTCCTTGTTTGATAAAGATTGTGCATCGCAGCGTTGTGGAAAGGTCTCAGGTTTAAGTATTCGGGCTTTGATGTGCAGCTGGGTCATGTTTACCTTTATTTGTGAAAAGTTAAATCCAGAGTCATCAGTCGAGAATCAAGTCACTATAATAAAGATGTTGAAAATGATTTTAAAAAATGTTATTCTCTCACGACTCTTTGGTAGGCCAGTAAATTTCTGAGCCTATCTAAACTGTGAGATTGGAGATATATTGTGCATTTTATATCCTGTTTTTTGTGTTTTTCTCATAAATGTATTTACATGAATATAATAAAAGAACTGAGAAAGGCTAAGCTTTTCTTCTCCATTTTTTTAGCAAATGAAAATACATATTCTATTCCGAAAAACATGAGACGGGTTAGTACTGTTAATACATTGATTTTTAGCCTTTTTTAAATTGTCATGCATTTTTGTTATAAAAATTTTAAGCAGTTCCAAAATGCATGAGGTTAAGTGAAAATCCTCTTATGTTTCCTGCTGTTAACACTTTGCATTTATATACATAAATGCACAGGGCTATTTCTTTTCTTTCTAAACTTAAATGATACAAACTGGTTGCAACCTGTTTCCTGCACTTAATGTTGTCATGTGGTACACCCATAACTTTTTTTCTGTCAGTTGTTCCGTCTGAGTGATCTGGCTTTTGAAATCAACTGAAGATGTTGAGTTGATTTGTAGTTAGAATGGAAATTTTATCATTGACGTTCTTTTTCAAGTATGTGTTTTTTTTCAGGAGCAAACAGCTTATTAATTTCCATTTAGGTAGTTGCTGTACGAAATTTATCTATGATGGATGTCAAAGAGCTAATCTCTCAAGGTTTTGTAGCCCGGGTTGATATGACACACTGTACCAAATTTTTAATTTTGTTAGAATATTGTAAGTGAATGTTTAGACAAAAATAAAATATATTTGATATCATAGAAATACTAATCCTGAAAGAATGTGGAAGTCACAAGCTTTTCATATGGAAATGTAGGGTTTTTGTTTGTTTTTGAGACAGTCTTGCTTTGTTGCCCAGGCTGGAGTGCAATGGCATGATCATGGCTCACTGCAACCTCCACCTCCTGGGTTTAGGCAATTCTAACAGCCTCCTGAGTAGCTGGCATTACAGGCATCTACAGCTAATTTTCTTTTTTCTTTTCTTTTCTTTTTTTTTTTGAGATGGAGTCTTGATTTTCTGTCACCAGGAGTGCAGTGGCACCCTCTTGGCTCACTGTAACCTTTGCCTCCCGTGTTCAAGTGATTCTCCTGCCTCAGCCTCCCCAGTAGCTGGGACTACAGGTGCATGCTACCAAGCCCAGCTAATTTTTGTATTTGGTTTAGTAGAGACAGTTTCTCCATGTTGGCCAGGATGGTCTCTATCTCTTGACTTCGTGAACTGCCTGCCTTGGCCTCCCAAACTGCTGGGATTACAGGCGTGAGCCACCAACACATGGCCAAAAATGTAGGTTTTTAATGTCTGACTATCTGTCTAGCAATCTACATAAACCCTTGAGTGAGCCTTGCTCAATAAGTTCATTCTTTTTTTTTTTTTTTTTTTTTTTTTGAGACGGAGTTTTGCTTTTGTTACCCAGGTTAGAGTGCAATGGCGCGATCTCGGCTCACCACAACCTCCACCTCCTGGGTTCAGGCAATTCTCCTACCTCAGCCTCCTGAGTAGCTGGGATTACAGGCACGTGCCACCATGTCCAGCCAATTTTTTGTATTTTTAGTAGAGACGGGGTTTCACCATGTTGACCAGGAATGGTCTCGATTTCTTGACCTCGTGATCCACCTGCCTGGGCCTCCCAAAGTGCTGGGATTATAGGCTTGAGCCACCGCGCCCGGCAATAAGTTCATTCCTGAAGTCATGAGAGATCGTTTCAGTTTTGGTTTTCCTAGTCTTTTAGTATTATGTTTGTTGAACCAAAGTTCAACTTTATTTTGTGGGAAATCTTACTGTAATTTTTATTGTATTCTGTTTCTTTACATGGGCTTGGTTTAGATGGTGATGAATGCATGTGCCAGCCTTCGATTGGAAAGGTTAGTGAAATGCAGTGTTTGCATTCTCCACTTGGAGCTGCTGATCCAGCACAGAAAAACAAGGCCAATTCGTGGCAGTGTTGATCTCTTAGTACTAAATTGTGAGGAAAAAATTGGATGCTGATTATCTTTGTTGTGGGAGGTTTGGGATTGAGAATGAGATGTTTGCCTGAAACTGATAATTATTCTAATTATCTTTGTTTTGGGGGGTTTGGGAGGGAAAATGAAATGTTTACTTGATATTGATAATTATTCTAATAAGTTGCCAGTGGTATTTAACAGTTTTCAGTTTATACTGTTGGAAAAGGCTTTAATATGGTGTACAGTAGATGTCCTATTTTAAGTTCGATGAATTACAAATTTAATTGACACAATTAAAAAATAACTTGGAGGGGCCGGGTACAGTGGCTCACACCTGTAATCCCAGCACTTTGGAGGCTGAGGCAGGCGGATCATGAGATCAGGAGTTCGAGACCAGCCTGACCAACTTGGTGAAACCCTGTCTCTACTAAAAATACAAAAATTAGCCGGGCGTGGTGACACGTGCCTGTAATCCCAGCTACTGGGGAGGCTGATGCAAGAGAATAGCTTAAACCTGGAAGGCGGAGGTTGTAGTGAGCTGAGATTGTGCCACTGCACTCCAGCCTGGGTGACAGAGTGACACTCCATCTCAAAAAAACAAAAAACCTGAAACAACAAAATTGGAGGAAGCAGAAAGGTGGGATAAGCACCTAAGTAATTGTGTAGTTGAGTGGAAATATTAAAAGATGTTTTTAAAACTGTAGGTTGGAAACAGGAAATCTGAAACTGTGTTAAAATAACTCTTTTTACACTGAGGTAAAAATATGGAAAAATATTGTTACTGTTGACAAATTTTCTGATGAGTGTTATGTCATGACCTATTATAATTTTCAGCTTGTTAGATAATTAACTTTCATAGTGGCTTTTTCTACCTTACATTTTGAATGCCTTTTCCAATTCTGAACGCTTAACCCATGTGCCCCCAGATCTGATGTTGCCCACTCCTAGGCAATTGGGGACAAGTATCAGTAACAGTGGGGGCTGTATGGTGGCTCATGCCTGTTATCCAGCATTGGGAGGCTAGGTGGGAGGATCACTTGAGCTCAGGGGTTCAAGACTAGCTTGGGCAACAAAATGAAACCTATCTCTACCAAAAAAAAAAAAAAAATTTGCTGGGTGTGATGGTGCAGGCCTGTGGTCTGAGTCTGAGCTACTCAAGAGGCTGAGGTGGGAGCATCACTTGAGTTCCAGAGGTCAAGGCTGCAGTGAGCTATTATACCACTGCACTCCAGCCTGGGTGACAGAGTGAGACTGTCAAAAAAAAAAAAAGTGTCATTATCTTGATATGTCTGCAATAAAAGCATAATGCTCTGCTAAGTGCAGTGGCTCATGTGTGTAATCCTAACACTCTGGGAGGTTGAGGCAGGTGGATCACCTGAGGTCATTCAAGACCAGCCTAGCCAACATAGCGAAACCCCTGTCTCTAGTAAAGATACAAAAAAATTGGCCAGGCGCGGTGGCTCACGCCTGTAATCCCAGCACTTTGGGAGGCCAAGGGGGGGGTGGATCACGAGGTCAAGAGATCGAGACCATCCTGGTCAACATGGTGAAACCCCGTCTCTACTAAAAATACAAAAAAAAAAAAAAAATTAGCTGGGCACGGTGGCGCATGTCTGTAATCCCAGCTACTCAGGAGGCCGAGGCAGGAGAATTGCCTGAACCCAGGAGGCGGAGGTTGCAGTGAGCCGAGATCGTGCCATTGCACTCCAGCCTGGGTGACAAGAGCGAAACACCGTCTCAAAAAAAAAAAAAGATACAGAAAAATTAGCCAAGCATGATGGCACAGGCCTGTAATCCCAGCTACCTAGGAGGCTTGAGAATTGCTTGAAACCAGGTATCGGAGGTTGCAGTGAGCTAAAATTGTGCCACTACACTCCAGCCTGGCAGCCTGGATGACAGAGTGAGAATGTCTCAAAAAAAAAAGGCAGGTGAATGTGGTAGCTCATGCCTGAGTACTTTGGGAGGCCAAGACAGGTGGATCACCTGAGGTTAGGAATTCAAGACCAGCCTGGCCAACATGGTGAATCCCCGTCTCTACTAAAAATGCAAAAAACTTAACCGAATGTGATGGTAGGCACCTGCAATTCCAGCTACTCAGGAGGCTGAGGCAGTAGACTCACTGGAACCTGGGAGGTGGAGTTTGCGGTGAGCCAAGATCATGCCACTGCACTCCAGCCTGGGCGATACAGTGAGACTCTGTCTCAAAAAAAAAAAAAAAAAAAAAAAGCTGGGTGCGGTGGCTCATGCCTGTAATCCCAGTACTTTGGGAGGCCAAGGCAGGCGGGTCACTTGAGGTCAGGAGTTCGAGACCAGTCTGGCCAATGTGGTAAAACCCCATCTCTACTAAAAATATAAAACTTAGCTGGGCATGGTGGCATGTGCCTGTAATTCCAGCTACTCAGGAGGTGAGGCATGGAGAATTGCTTGAACCTGGGAGGCAGAGGTTACAGTGAGCTGAGATCATGCCACTGTACTCCAGCCTGGGCGACAGAGTAATACTCTGTCTCAAAAAAGATAAATAAATAAAGTGCTTTGCTCTATTTATGATAACATCTTGTCTGTATCCTAAACATATCACAAGCTTAGATTGTGACCTCACTACAGGATACAAATTGAATTTAAATATTTCTAAGTTATGGGACATTACAATCATAGTAGCTTGAATTTAGATCTGTTGTGCAACTTTTCACTCTTGAAAAAAATACTTGGTTGACAAGGAATAAATTATACAATTTATGTTAGTGATGTCATAAACATGATTTTTGCTTTAAAATGAGACCAATTGGCCGGGCGTGGTGGCTCACGCCTGTAACCCCAGCACTTTGGGAGGCCGAGGCAGGTGGATCACAAGGTCAAGAGATCGAGACCATCCTGGCCAACATGGTGAAACCCCGTCTCTACTAAAAAATACAAGTGCCAGGAGCGGTAGCTCATGCCTATAATCCCAGCACTTTGGGAGGCCAAGGCAGGTGGATCACGAGGTCAAGAGATCAATACCATCCTGGTCAACAATGTGAAACCCCGTCTCTACTAAAAATACAAAAATTAGCTGGGCATGGTAGTGCACGCCTGTAGTCCCATCTAATCGGGAGGCTGAGGCAGGAGAATTGCTTGAACCCAGAAGGCTGAGGTTGCGGTCAGCCGAGATTGTGCCATTGCACTCCAGTCTGGGTAACAACAGTGAAACTCCGTCCTCCCCAAAAAAACCAAAAAAACAAAAGTTAGCTGGGCGTGGTAGCTTGCCTGTAGTCCCAGCTATTAGGGAAGCTGAGGCAGGAGAATTGCTTGAACCCGGGAGGTGGAGGTTGCAATGAGCCAGGATCGCGCCACTGCACTCCAGCCTGGCGTCTGGTGACAGAGCAAGACTTTCTCCAAAAAAAAGGCTGGGCGCGGTGGCTCACGCCTATAATCCCAGTACTTTGGGAGGCAGAGGCGGGTGGATCACAAGGTCAAGAGATCAATACCATCCTGGTCAACATGGTGAAACCCCGTCTCTACTAAAAATACAAAAATTAGCTGGGCATGGTGGTGTGTGCCTGTAGTCCCAGCTACTCGGGAGGCTGAGGCAGGAGAATTGCTTGAACCCAGGAGGCGGAGGTTGCGGTGAGCCGAGATTGCGCCATTGCACTCCAGCCTGGGTAACAAGAGCCAAACAACGTCTCAAAAAAAAAAAAAGGACCAATTAAGGTTTATCTGTACGTAGGTGATAAAGTTTTGGTAGAAAATATTAAATGAGAAAATAAAGGCTGGGTGCAGCGGCTCATGCCTGTAATCCCAGCACTTTGGGAGACCGAGGCAGGTGGATCACAAGGTCAAGAGATAGAGACCATCGTGACAAACATGGTGAAACTCTGTCTCTACTAAAAATATTTTAGAAAATTAACCAGGTGTGGTGGTATATGCCTATAGTCCCAGTTACTCGGGAGGCTGAGGTAGGAGAATTGCTTGAAACTGGAAAACGGAAGTTGCAGTGAGTTGTATCGCATCACTGCACTCAGCCTGGCGACAGAGCGAGACTCCATCTCAAAAAAAAAAAAGGGAAAATAGAAAAGTATGTATACACATATATTCCTTAAGGTCTTTTCTAAGTGGAAGAGAAGTCTAATAGTTAAAAAATATATCCATGGCCAGCCATGGTAGTTCACGCCTGTAATCCCAGCACTTTGGGAGGCTGAGGTGGGCAGATCATCTGAGGTCAGGAGTTGGAGACCAGCCTGGCCAACATGGTGAAACCCTGTCTCTACTAAAAATACAAAAAAATTAGCCGGGCATGGTGGCATGCTCTTGTAATCCCAGGAGACTGAGGCAGGAACATCGCTGGAACCTGGGAGGCAGAGGCTGCAGTGAGCCAAGATCGGACCACTGCATTCCGGTGTGGATGACAGAGTAAGACTGTGTCTCAAAAAAAAAAAAAAAAAAAAAAAAATCCATTAACTTGAATAAATGTAATATTTTATAGTTATGCAACTAGTGTGAAGAGTAATTTGTACTAAGAAAAACTGAAGCCACTATTGTAAAAATTGCACATAGTGAGATCTTTTAAATTTATACAAAAAAAGACTTTTGAAGATTAAAGACTCGAGAAAGTTCTCTACAATGTATTTACCAAGTATCAGATGGCTTTACACTTAGACTTTGCTTAAGATGTTTAAAGCATTAAAACCAGAGGGGAGTAAAGCCAGGCAAGAGGAAAAGACCAGAGTCTCTGGTCCCAGCATGGTGTCTAAGTGCCAGACTCTCAGGGGACAAAAGAGATGTCCTCAAGTACTGGCTGACTCTCAGGCAAGTTGGCAAATAGCAGGTTTTGGTTCATATTCAAGAAGTTATAATTGCAAGTCTATATATCTCATAGAATAGCAGGAAAATCTGTTTTCAAAGTAAAAATATAAACACTACAAACTTTAAAAACAAAAACCTTGGCCAGGAACAGTGGCTCATCCATGTAATCCCAGTAATTTCAGGAGGCTGATGTGAGATGTTTAAAGCATCCGTGTAATTTCAGGAGGCTGAGGTGGGTGAATTGCTAGAAGCTGGGAGTTCGAGACCAGCCTGGTCAACATGGGTGAAACCCTGTCTCTACTAAAAATACAAGAATGAGCTTGTGGTGGTGGTGCATGCCTGTAGTCCCAGCTTCTCGGGAGGCTGAGGCACAGAATTGCTTGAGCCCAGGAGGCAGAGGTTGCAGTGAGACGAGATTGCACAGTGCACTGCACTCCAACCTGTGTGACAGAGTGAGACTCTGTCTCAAATATAAATAAATAAATAAAAACAAAAACCTTAGTAGTATGCCAGTGATAAGCCATAGTTGCCATGGTTTTATGTGCAGTTGGGATTCTGAAAGTACAGTCTGAAATATTCTTTCATTTTCTAGATAGGGCTTACATACTGTGTTTTTGTCATGCTACTTTTGTGAACTGTAGCTTATTTAGTAAAATATACCCACAGCTTTTGGGAGGTGCCTGTAATTATAGGTGAGCTTAGTTTGTCATATACTTTCTAGGATATAGGGAAAGCATGATTTAATAGTAATGTTCTATTAAAAAGTAGTAGATTGGGCAGTTGTAGTATCAACAACTTAAAATTTACAAGTACCTGTAAAGTTTAATACCGTCGCAGACGTTGTGTTCCAGCTCTCTGCTTTGATTGTCTAGTAGGCCAGAAGCGGACTCCTAGAAGAGGGGAGCAGCAAGGATGGAATGATAGCCGTGGGCCCGAGGGGACCCTTGAAAGAGCCGAGCGGAGACCCTACAGGGAATACCGACCCTATGAGACCGAGAGGTAGGTGGACTTCACAGCTGAAAAGTTTGCAAATGAAAAGTACATGCCGGCCGGGCGCAGTGGCTCAAGCCTGTAATCCCAACACTTTGGGAGGCCGAGGCGGGTGGATCACGAGGTCAACAGATCGAGACCATCTTGGTCAACGTGGTGAAACCCCGTCTCTACTAAAATTACAAAAAATTAGCTGGGCATGGTGGCGCGTGCCTGTAATCCCAGCTGCTCAGAAGGCTGAGGCAGGAGAATTGCTTGAACCCGGGAGGCGGAGGTTGTGGTGAGCCGAGATCGCGCCATTGCACTCCAGCCTGGGTAACAAGAGCGAAACTCCGTCTCAAAAAAAAAAAAAGAAAAGTACATGCAGCAGTTCTCGTCAGGGTGGGTGGGGAACCGGAAAGTTTTTCAAAAAAATGCTACTTCTACTGGCTACTGCTTTTTGTGGTGCCAGTCCTAGGAATGTTTTCCTAATTTATGTGCAGTTCATGTTGCCTTAGACGATGGGAGGGATCTTCCTTTTGCCTCATAGATGACTTTACATCTTGGTTCAGAAAATGATTGTACGATTAAAAGTTAATTGCTTATTTGTAACTGTGAAGAGTACTTGTAAAAAGAAATTACACAGGAGTGTGTTGAACGGGTTTTCTTTTGAAATTCTAGATTAGACATATAATTTTGGACTAGGGATGTAATTATGGTTTTGATTTAGTATTACTAATTTAGACTGCTCAATGGATTGAAATAAATTCCTAGCTCCACAGTCAGGTCAATAGGCTGCCATGATGAGATATGAAGAAAAGTCTGTCTGATATGTAATACCGGTTTCTGCTGGGCCTGCCTGCTCTGGAAGTACTCTAACACACAGCAGTCGTGGGCTGGTGGTGTTGTGTCGCTCCTGAGTGATGTGGCAGCGTGGTGGCACGGCACCCCACCTGAACACAGGGAGCGGTTATTTGTGTCTTATGCTTGGCACTAGCAAGGTGGGTGCTTGCTGCTTAGAACCTTTGTTTAATCATTACACCTGTTTATGTTAAACAGAATCAGATTTCAAGGAAATAAAGTTAAAAAGGCTAAGGAAGACTAAAATAGTAAATAGTTAAATGTCAAGGGAGCCATTATCCCCAACTTCCAGCTTCTTGACTGCTAATTCCTTTCCATTTAGGATTCTGGCTACAAGTTTTAACCAAATAATGTGGTTTTGTAAAACTATCTATAGAGCCTGTTAAAAACAAAACAAAAACAACTCCAGCAGAGAGTAACAACCTGCTCGCGCTGAGCAGGTGATGATTCATGCAGAGATATTCACCTAGCAGTTAACGCATTCAAGACAATGAGATGGTCTTGATGCAACCATGTTGGAGAGAATAGAAAGTCTTACTTTTGCCCCTTTTTTGGTGATTACTTCAAATTTGCTGAGTAATAAGCACAGTCTACTTGCTTCTGCAAAGCTTCTTAGATCAGACCTGCTTATTTTTGGAATCATTTGGGTATTTATTTCCCCCTAATTTTAGGGATTCTGTGGAAATGAGGAAATTATAGTTCATATGCACAAACCCATGTTTCCCTCCCTTTTTTTAGTAGCAAGACTATGTAGTCTTTAAAAAGGATAAAACAGATTTTTATATCATGTAAAAAAAATAGCTATAAGTGAAATAATACATATATGGAAGAATAAGGTGGGTTATGGGATTATGGAGGGTTTTTTTTCTTTTAAAATAAGTTCAGAATTACAGAAAAGTTTCAAGAATTATACAAAGAATTTCCATCTGCCTTTCATCCAGAATCCCCACATACTAACTTTTTACCACATTTGTTTTCTCATCCCCCACCACATCACAGCCTTTCCTTGTTATTCAAGAATAAGGTGTAGGAATGCCCCCTCACTCCTAAATACTTTAAATTCATTTCCTAAAAACATGATGCAATTTTCAGACTCATTAAGATGAATATAATACTGTTATCTAATTCTCTGAATTGTGTAGTCTACAGACTTTCCTCAGATTTCACCAGTTGTCTCAGTGGTATCTTTTAACAAGAGAAAACATTTCTGGTTCAGGATCCACTCCAGGCAAACGCATTGTAGTTAGTCATCTTTAATTAGGCACAGCTCCTTAGCCTTCCTTTGTCTTTATGAATTTGGGATTTCGAAGAGTATGGGCCAGTTATTTTACAGCATGTCCCAGATTTTGAGTTTTTCTGATGTTTCCTCATGAAATGAGGTTCTGCACTTTTGGTAGGAGTGCCACAGAAGTGATGTGTTCTCAGCACACCACATTAGAGATATGTAGAGAATCTTCACTTTCAAGGAAATCTGAATTTTTTAAATAAATCATTTGATATCAGAAAACACTTTCTTAGTTTCCAAAAAATACTCTTAATAAGTAATACTTTTGGGAGGGTGGGGAGGGATAACATGGGGAGAAATGCCAGATATAATATGCATCTAAAGTAAATTAAATAAATTAAAAAAAAAAGATCCAGAGGAAAAAAAAGTAATACTTTTTTTTTTTTTTTTTGAGATGGATTCTCTCTCTGTTGCCCAGGCTGGAGTGCAGTGGCTCGATCTCTGCTCACTATAATCTCCGCTTCTTGGGTTCAAGTGATTCTCCTGCTTCAGCCTCCTGAGTAGCTGGGGACTACAGGCACATGTTACTACCCTCGGCTAATTTTTGTATTTTTTTAATAGAGACAGGGTTTCAGCCTGTTGGCCAGGATGGTCTCAATCTCCTGACCTCATGATCCGCCTGCCTCAGCCTTCCAAAGTGTTGGGATTACAGGCGTGAGCCACCACACCCGGCCAAATAATACTCTTAATAATAATAAAAATACTCTTTTTTTGAGACATTCTGTTACCCAGGCTGGAGTATAGTGACATGATCTCGGCTCACTACAACATCCATCTCCCAGGTTCATGTGATTCTCCTGCCTTAGGCTCCTGAGTAGCTGGGATTACAGGCACGCACCACTATGCCTGGCTAATTTTTGTATTTTTTTTTTTTTTAGTAGAGACAGGGTTTCACTATATTGGCCAGGCTGGTCTCGAACTCCTGACCTCATGATCCACCTGCCTCGGCCTCCCAAAGTGCTGGGATTACACCGAATAAAAATACTCTTAAATAAAATGTAAAAAGTTTTATTTGTGACAAACTCACAAGCAAAAGGAAGGAAAATAACATTTGAGCCAAGCACCTTGCTTTATATACCTGTGATCTGTGATTCACTGTCTTATAACAATCATAGGAAGTAGACATGACGCCTGTTTCTCAGGTGGAGAGCCTGGAGCTCATGGAGGTGTGAATAAGGAGTTCAGCGTTGACTGGATACCAGATTTCAGTTTGAAAACATAAAAAGCTCTGGAGAAGGATGGTGATGATAGTTGTACAACAGTGTGAATGTGCTTAATGCCACAGAATTGAACACTTAAAAATGATTAAAATGGTAAATGTTATGGTATGTGTAAAAAATGATTAAAATGGTAAATGTTATGGTATGTGTATTTTACCACAATTTGTTTAAAGCTTATTAATAATGGGGGATGGGTAAACATCTGGGGGATTGTTTTTTTCAGAACAGGCATTGATTTAAATGACCAGTAAATTACAGAAAGGAAGAGCCAAAATGTATCCAGAAAGAGGCAGACTAATCTAATAGTCTAGGTTCTAAGAGTTTAATTAAATTCATTTGGAGCCTAAGGAAAAATTCCTACTGCATTAAAAACAGTAGTTTATGGCTGGGTGTGGTGGCATACACCTATAATCCGAGCACTTTGGGAGGCTGAGGCAGGCAGATCATAAGGCAAGAGATTGAGACCAGCCTGGTTAACATGGTGAAACCCCAGCTCTACTAAAAGTACAAAAGTTAGCTGGGTGTGGTGGCGCGAGCCTGTAGTCCCAGCTACTCGGGAGGCTGAGATAGGAGAATCATTTGAAGCAAGGAGGCAGAAGTTGTAGTGAGCTGGAGTCACTGCACTCCAGCTTGGTGACAGAGTAATACGCTGTCTGAAAAACAAAAACCAAAAAAACCCAGTAGTTTACTCCCAGAATATGTGCTCCGCAGGATGTAGCTGATCTCTGGGGTGGAGACATGCCCCTCAATCCCAGCACCATTTATGACATTGCTTCCATGGGAAAACACGTGCTCTGCCTAAGCAGAATAGAAATCCATGCTACCTGGCTGTGACAAAACTACTGTATACATTGCTGAAACTCTGAATCTGTTTCCTCATTTGAAAATTAAGAGGGCTGAATTTAGATAATCTTTCGAGATTATGAAGATTTTATAATTCTGTCCAGTAAACACGTGTAAGTATCAAACTCAAGGTGACACCTTTTTTCACTATCAGATGAGCAAAGATCAAATCTTAATATATTATATTCAAGCTTGGAGAAAGTGCTATAAGAAATGCTCTCAGCCGGGTGCAGTGGCCCATACCTGTAATGCCAGCACTTTGGGAGGCTGAGGTGGGTGGATCACCTGAGGTTAGGAATTGAAGACCAGCCTGGCCAACATGGTGAAAACCACTAAAAATACAAAAATTAGCAGGATGTGTTGGTGCGTGCATGTAATCCCAGCTACTCGGGGGACTGAAGCAGGAGAATCTCTTGAACCAGGGAGTCGGAGGTTGCAGTGAGCCGAGATCACACTACTGCACTCCAGCCTGGGTGACAGAGCGAGACTCTGTCTCCCAAAAAAAAAAAAAAAAAAAGAGTTTATAGGCTGGGCACAGTGGCTCACACCTGAAATCTCAGCATTTCAGTGCTTTGGGAGGCTGAGGCGGGCAGATACTTGAGCTCAGGAATTTGATTCCAGCCTGGCCAATGTGGTGAAACGCTGTCTCTACTAAAAATGCAAAATTAGCCAGGCATGGTGGCACACACCTATAATCTCAACTACTGGGGAGGCTGAGGCATGAGAATCACTTGATACCAGGAGGCGGAGGCTGTAGTGAGCTGAGATTGCACCCTTCATTCCAGCCTGGGAGACAGAACAAGGCTTTGTCTCAAAAAAAAAAAGTTTACTTTTGGCTGGGCACACAGTGGCTCATACGTGTAATCCTAGCACTTTGGGAGGCCTAGGCAGGCAGATTTCTTGAGCCCAGGAGTTTGAGACCAGCCTGGGTGACATGATGAAACCCCCATCTCTATAAAAGTCACAAATTAGCTGGATGTGGTGGCACATGCCTGTAGTCTCAGCTGCTTGGAGGACTGAGGTGGGAAGATCGCTTGAGGTCGAGAGGTGAAGGCTGCAGTGAGCAGTGATTGGACCACTACACTCCAGCTTTGGCGACAGAATGAGATACTGTCTCAAAAAAAAAATTACTGTTACTTTTCTTTTGTTTGTTTTAGAACCCTACTTTAGATTTCCTTTTTTGAGGGAGGGTCTTGTTCTATTGCCCAGGCTGGAGTGCAGTGGCAAGATCGCGACTCACTACACTTCTGGGCTCAAGTAATCCTCCCATCTTAGCCTCCTAAGTAACTGAGATTACGGGTACACACCACCATGCCTGGCTAATTTATTATATTTTTTAGTAGAGATGGGGTTTCACCGTGTTACTCAAGCTGGTTTCAAACTCCTGCACTTAAACGATCTAACTGCCTTGGTCTCTCAAAGTGCTGGGATTACAGGCTTGTGCCACCACTTCCAGCCTGCTTTAGATTTTTTTTTTTTTTTTTGAGACAGGGTCTCGCTTTGTCACCTGGGCTGGAGTGCAGTGCGCAATCTTGGCTCATTGCAACCTCTGCCTCCCAGGTTCAAGTGATTCTCCTGCCTGAGCCTCACAAGTAGTTGGGATTACAGGTGCTCGCCACCATGCCTGGCTAATTTTTGTATTTTTAGTAGAGATGGGGTTTCACCGTGTTGACCAGGCTGGTTTCAAACTCCTGACCTCAAGTGATCCTCCTGCCTCAGCCTCCCAAACTGCTGGGATTACAGGCGTGAGTCACTGAGCCCAGCCTGATGTAGATATTTGTTGTAGTTTAGAATCAGGTATTACAAAGATTTCTATTTTTGATGAGGGGAGGGAGGTGGGAGACAGAAAAGCCAACTTGGAGAATTTATTTAGATTGGTGTTTCTTATAAGAGAGTGGCATAACGTTAATGATTAGCACTTCTGTATTTCTTTATTTTTTGAGTAAGGTAAATTGTGATTTTGTATCTTTTTACCCACTGCTGTATAGTGGCTTCTTTTTCTTTTTTATTGAGACGGAGTTTCACTCTTGTTTACCCAGGCTGGAGTGCAATGGCGCGATCTCAGCTCACCGCAACCTCCGCCTCCTGGGTTCAGGCAATTCTCCTGCCTCAGCCTCCCGAGTAGCTGGAATTACAGGCACGTGCCACTATGCCCAGCTAATTTTTTGTATTTTTAGTAGAGATGGGGTTTCACCACGTTGACCAGGATGGTCTCGATCTCTTGACCTCGTGATCCACCCGCCTCTGCCTCCCAAAGTGCTGGGATTAAAGGCGTGAGCCACCGTGCCTGGCCGAGGCTTCTTAATGTAACACTTTTAGCCATAAAAGTAGACTGTAAAATACCTCTAGTGCTGGTGTTTGAGCTACTAATGCCGCTAGGTTTCTTGAGCCAGGACCTCTATTAAATAAGTAATTTCTTGTCACTTTAAATGTTTTTAAAAGCCTTGACAAAGTAGAAAATAATTCTCTTAATCTAGTGTTACAGTGGTGAAAGAGACATAATCCTTTCACACTGGAGCTTAGAGCTTAGTGAAGGAGAGACAAGTCCTCAGAAGGAGTGATGGTGAGCAGTGATGGTGCAGGGAGGAGTGGGTGGTTGATCACGTCCTGGGTTCAGGCTCTGATGTGGCAGAGGAAGAGGAGGGAGGAGTGGCTTGGGCTGTCTCTCCTGTTGTGAACTGAGGACCACAGGAGGAAAAAGGCTCCCTCCGTGTTAGGCATGTAGGTGCCGGCCCCGGGAGTATCCAGGTGGAGATGTCTAGAAAGTAACTGGCTTCATGTCCTGCAATCAGATGAGAGACACGGGGCCAGTTAGCATCAGCATGGAGGCCAGGAGGACATGGCAGGGAAAGAGAAGTCAGGGTGCCGACAAGGGTAAGGGTGGATGGGTATCCGTGTGAGTGCCAAGACAAAGGTTAGGCACGAGAGGCAGGCGGAGAACCTTTCTCTTATGTTAATCTTGAAGTGGCTGCTTCTGAGAAGTGCGGTTGTGTGGCTGAGGAACCGTGTGAGTTTTGTACCACATTTGGGTATTACCTATTCCAAAAATAATTTTCTTTTCTTTTTCTTTTTGAGACGGAGTTTCGCTCTTGTTACCCAGGCTGGAGTGCAATGGCGCCATCTCGGCTCACCGCAACCTCCGCCTCCTGGGTTCAGGCAATTCTCCTGCCTCAGCCTCCTGAGTAGCTGGGATTACAGGCATGCGCCACCTAATTTTTTGTATTTTTAGTAGAGACGGGGTTTCACCATGTTGACCAGGATGGTCTCGATCTCTTGACCTTGTGATTCACCCACCTCGGCCTCCCAAAGTGCTGGGATTACAGGCGTGAGCCATCGCGCCCGGCCCAAAAACAATTTTCTAAGGGCAGGCAGAGAAAGAGAAGCCAGAAAAGTCAGGAAAATTAGTGGCCTGCAGTGTCATACAATACTGGGGTCAAATGACTTGAAGACAAAAGTTGCTATTGGGCTTCACAAGGAGGTGTTCAGCTGCCCTTGGCTATTTCTGCGGAGTAATGAGGTAGAAGGCAGGTTAACGTTTTCACAGTTGCAGATGTTACCAGCCGCTTGTGTGTTCGGGAGAGAGACTTGAGAAGGGGCATAATTTTGAAGTTTAACCATTTTTTTTTTTTTTGAGACGGAGTTTCGCTCTTGTTTACCCAGGCTGGAGTGCAATGGCACGATCTCGGCTCACTGCAACCTCCGCCTCCTGGGTTCAGGCAATTCTCCTGCCTCAGCCTCCTGAGCAGCTGGGATTACAGGCACGCACCACTATGCCCAGCTAATTTTTTGTATTTTTAGTAGAGACGGGGTTTCACCATGTTGACTAGGATGGTCTTGATCTCTTGACTTTGTGATCCACCTGCCTCGGCCTCCCAAAGAGCTGGGATTACAGGCTTGAGCCACCACGCCCGGCCTGACCATTTTTCTTATATAATATATTCCAAATTTAACTTGAAGATTTAGTATTAGAACAGGAATGAACCTTTGAGTTTACTTATCTAACATCCTCATTTTATGAGTAAAGAAATAGATCCAGAGAGAGAAAGGAATGTCCCACTCGGATTAGTACTAGGCCTGTCTAGTATCTGTGTCCCCTGGGCTGGCTCCACCACTTAGCCTACTCTGTGCTTCGGTTTCTCATTTCTAGGCAATAATTGTATATTAAAGATTTGTTTGTGAGAATCCAATTACTATATGTAAAGTGCTCAGAACAATGCCAGCTATATAGTCTATAGTATGTGCTCAGTAAAGATTAACTATTAATTTATGATTCAAGCTACCATTCATTCCAGTATACTATAACCATGATTTTCTTTCAGAATTCTTTTCTGGAGAAGACCTTAGACCTTTAATTTACCAGTTTTTATTATATCCATTTCTTCCTAGACCAGGTGATAGGTTTGATCGAGACAGACCGCTGAGAGGACGTGGAGGCCCGAGAGGGGGTATTCGCGGCCGAGGCAGAGGTGGCCCTGGGAATAGAGTTTTTGATGCTTTTGACCAGAGAGGGAAGCGAGAATTTGAAAGATATGGTGGGAATGACAAAATGTAAGTTTCTTTGTAAATGCTATTTTCACTTTTAAGATGTTGGCAACACATGGTATGAATCTGTTATGTGTTAATACTTAGTTAACTTACTATGCTGTTATTGTGAGAAGCTGATCCTGGGACTTTTATGAACAGCTCTTTCTGATTTGGAGATTAACTGGAGAGCAGATTCTGGTTTAAAGGACTATTCTTTCTTTCTGTAGAATAGTCAGAACCGAAGACAACATGGGTGGCTGTGGAGTTCGCACCTGGGGATCAGGTAAAGATACCAGGTACGGTGTAAGTATGTGCCCTTTGAGAACCTGCAATTAAGTGGAAATCTCTGAATCTTTGCTTTTCTTGAAAATAATATCTTCTGTGTTGTGCTTTTACACTTGTGCGCCCTTAAGTAGAGATTGATTTTAGGCTTTTGTTTACTGAGATAACTTTTTAAAACAGGTTTGCTATGTTGCAATTAGATATGAAACTGCTTTTAAAATTTTATTACTTTAGTCAAACAGGTTTATGACAAATGACCAGGTATCTGCTGATGCCTCAAACATAGGGCACTGTACATTTGCACATGCCTCAAAATGCTATGTGTTGGCTGCACACGGTGGCTCCCACCTGTAATCCCAGTACTTTGGGAGGCCAAGGTGGGTGAATTGCTTGAGGTCAGGCATTTGAGACCAGCCTGGCCAATATGGTAAAACCCTATCTCTACTAAAAATACAAAAATTAGCTGAGCATGGTGGCAGGCTCTTGTATTCCCAGCTACTCAGGAGGCTGAGGCAGGATAATCAGTTGAACCTGGGAGGCAGAGATTGCAGTGAGCTGAGCTTGTGCCACTGCACTCCAGCCTGGGCGACAGAGCAAGACTTGGCATCTCAATTTAAAAAAAAAAAAAAGCTTTTTGTTTTGTATTGTTTAATTAATTAATTAATTAATTATTATTATTATTATTATTTTTTTAAACAGAGTCTCGCGCTGTCGCCCAGGCTGGAGTGCAATGGTGCGGTCTTGGCTCACCACAACCTCTGCCTCCCGGGTTCAAGCAATTCTCCTGCCTCAGCCTCCCAAGTAGCTGGGGTTTCAGATGTGCACCACCACTCTTGGCTAATTTTTGTATTTTTAAGTAGAGTCTAGGTTTTACCATGTTGGTCAGGCTATTCTCAAACCCCTGACCTCGTGTTCCACCCACCTCAGCCTCCTAAAGTGCTGGTATTACAGGCATGAGCCACTGTCGCTGGCTGTTTTGTTTAATTTTATTATTTTTAAAAATAGAGACAGGGTCTCACTATGTTCCCCACACTGGTCTTGAACTCCTAGACTCAAGCAATCCTCCTGCCTCAGCCTCTCAAAGTGCTGGGAGAGGCTTTGAGAGCCAACACATTCAGCCCAAAATACTTTTTAAATTCCTGGATATTCTCTGTTTTGACCTTTCAAAATTTGTGTGGATCCTTGATAATGTTCATTTTATAAAATTTTATTCAATGTAGATTGAAGCTTAGTAATAGGTTTCACCTGAGGCTCAAGTTGGACATTTCTCTGAGGCTTCATGTTACCTTAGATCTGTGCCAGTTCTTCTGCTAGTTAGAGTGGATACATGGTTCTGCCCTGTTTCATTTCACAGCTGGAAGAATGATGCCTTCCTGGTATCTGTAGAGGAAGAAGTAGGGCCTGCTGCAGGCAGTGCGGTGTGAGCAATGCTACAGGGCAGGCTTTCTACTAGCGTGAAGGCTTAAGGGGATCTAGGCTTCTACTTTTTCTGTTTTGAAGACTATAAACTGTTTTTCTTTTGAGATGGAGTCTTGCTCTGTCACCCAGGCTGCAGTGCAGTGGTGTGATTTTGGCTCACTGCAATCTCCACCACCCCACTTCAAGTGATTTCTCCTGTGTCAGCCTCCTGAGTAGCTGGGACTACAGGTGCATGCCACCACATCTGGCTAATTTCATATTTTTAGTAGGGACAGGATTTCACCGTATTGGTCAGGCTGGTCTCGAACTCCTGACCTCGGCCTCCCAAAGTGCTGGGATCATAGGCGTGAGCCACCATGCCCTGCCAGAATATAAGCTTTTTATGTAAATTTATTTTTCTTAAATTGTTGTCCTTAAAGACAAATGTACAAACTAGTATTAAATGTAACAATGTTAGATTTACTACCATTGCTTATCTGTGTTGTCCTTGAAAAGAAACTTGTCAAGTGATTCCTTATTTGAAGTTCCACAGGAGCTTGATGACAGATCTTTTTGTTTTACTTTGATTTTATGTGTGTGTGTGTGTGTGTGTGTGTGTGTGTGTATTTTTTGAGATAGAGTCTCGCTCTGTCATTAGGCTGGAGTATGGTGGCACGATCTGTGCTCACTGCCACCTCCGCCTCCCAGGTTCAAGCAATTCTCCTGCCTCAGCCTCCCGAGTAGCTGGGACTACAGGTGTGCACCACCACGACCAGCTAACTTTTGTATTTTTAGTAGAGACAGGTTTCAGAAAAAAATGAAAAAAAAGGAGACGGGTTTCACCATGTTGGCCAGAATGGTCTCTATCTCTTAACCTCGTGATCCGCCTGCCTCAGCCTCCCAAAGTGCTGAGATTACAGGTGTGAGCCGCCATGCCTGGTGTTTTTTGTATTTTTATAGAGACATGGGTCCCCCATGTTTCCCAGATTTGTATCAAACTCCTGGGCTTAAGCAGTTCACCTGCCTTGTTTCCCAAAGAGCTAAGACTACAGGCATGAGCCACCATACCCAGCTGGTCAAAGCTCTTAGGTGGTTATAATCTGTAATGGAAAGCTTTTCTTAGAATAAGACTGATTTCTTAATAGAAATAAATATTAATTTATACATTTACTTAATATGCTTTTTAATAAATTGAGTAATAAGTTTATTTCTTAACAAATCGGCTTGAGGTCATGAAAATGATGTAGTGTGCAGGAGATATGTGCTGCTTTTGATTAGTGAGAAGAAAGTGGAGGTGAGCCTAACACAGTAAGTGATTTGTTTGTGGCTGGCAAAGCCTAAGTGCTTCGCAGTGTATTAAAGGTGTAAGGGCTTTGCTGTGGTTTAGTATTCCCATTTGAAGACACTGACAGCAATAACTGGATTTAAGGACAAAATCTCTTCAAACTGGTGTGACTGAGCCATTTCAGTAATACTGCTTACCTTCAGTAGTTTGACACTGCTGAAATAGAATTTTGCCTATTTGTGCTGAAATGGAATTTTTCCATCTGCAATAAAGTGTATCAGATATTATTTACTTGTTAAAATTGGAGTAGACACCCATGAATGCAGTTTTCAATAATGCTGCCTTTCAACTTTTATTATGAAGAGCAAGACGGTTTTATTTATTCTCAAAGCAACATTTGATGAAAATCTGTTCATTCTCAGAGATTTAATTAAGTGTGAAGTCTGGTTGAGTTTGAACGAGGTAACAAAGCCTTGAAGTGTGTAACATCATTTTATGGAACATATGTGCACAAACAGGCATTTTCTACAGTAGTACAACTGAAGTAAAAATATAGACATGGGCCCTGGGGTTATATCTCTCTTCTGATAAATACATTGGTGATTTACTTTCAACAAAATAGCAGAACCTACCAAATTAATTGCTGCTAATTTTGAAACTTAATTGTTTTGCAGTTTTGATCATATGGTTCTATAAGAGCTGTAGGCATAATATTTTATATTCATTTATAAAATAAACATGGGGGAGATCTGTGATTTTTCTTTTCTGTAAAATTAATTGCTCAAGTTTAAGAAATACTCAGGTTTTTTTTTGTGGTTCATACCTGTGATCCTAGGCTTAAGGAGGCTGAGACAGGTGGATCACTTGAGCCCAGGAGTTCAAGACCAGCCTGAGCAACAAAGTGAAAGCCCATCTCTACAAAAAATAGAAAAAATTAGCTGGGCATGGTAGTGTGTGCCTGTAGTCCCAGCTACTCCAGAGGCTGAGGTGGGAATATCTCTTGAGCCCAGAAGGTTGGGACTGCAGTGAGCTGTGATGGCACCACTGTACTCCAGCCACCATGCCCAGCTTATTTTTGTATTTTAAGTAGAGAAGAGGTTTCGCCATGTTGGCCAGGCTGGTCTCAAACTCCTGGCCTCAAGTGATCCCACCCTCCTTGGCCTCCCAAAGTGCTAGGATTACAGGTGTGAGCCACTGCACCCAGCCTGGAACCTTCATTAAAAAAAATAAAAGTTAATTACTCAGGCCGGGCGCAGTGGCTCAAGCCTGTAATCCCAGCACTTTGGGAGGCCAAGGTGGGTGGATCACGAGGTCAAAAGATCGAGACTATCCTGGTCAACATGATGAAACCCCGTCTCTACTAAAAATACAAAAAATTAGCTGGGCATGGTGGCACGTGCCTGTAATCCCAGCTACTCAGGAGGCTGAGGTGGGAGAATTGCCTGAACCCAGGAGGCGGAGGTTGCAGGGAACCGAGATTGCACCATTGCACTCCAGCCTGGGTGACAACAGGGAAACTCCATCTCAAAAAAAAAAAAAAAAAAAAAAAAAGTTAATTACTCAAGTTTTGTTTTAAAAAAAGAGTTTTTAAAAAATTGATTACAGTAGCTTGGAGTTGAGAATTTAATAATTATTTAAATTGAAAAGTCTTTTCCATTATTGTGGTTCAATTTATGGTTACTTTTTAAAAAAACTTATTTTTAAAGCCCTTAAAGGCTGGGTGCTGCAGCTCACACCTGTAACCCCATCACTTTGGGAGGCCAAGGTGAGTGGATCACTTGAGGTCAGGAGTTCGAGACCAGACTGGCCAACATGGTGAAACCCCATCTCTACTAAAAATACAAAATAAAATTAGCTGGGCCTGGTGGTGGATACCTGTAATCCAAGCTACTTGAGAGGCTGAGGGAGGAGAATTGCTTGAACCTGGGTGGAGGTTGCAATGAGCCGAGATTACACTATTGTACTCCAGCTTGGGCAACAGTGAGACTCAGTCTCAAAAAAGTAAAAGTTTTCTTAAACATACAAAGACATCGATGTGAACATATTTGTGTGACTAGAGAGAGTCTTGCTGTTTTTCAGTGACGTGGAGGCAACTGCACCGATGGAGGAACCCACAGTGGTGGAGGAGTCCCAGGGCGCCCCAGAAGAGGAGTCTCCAGCCAAGTAGGGTGTTTCATTCATTCCCATTGTGGTGTTGGTCCTCTTCATAATGATTTCTTTCTTTTTTTTGAGAGGGATTCTTGCTCTGTCGCCCAGGCTGGAATGCAGTGGTGTGATCTCAGCTCACTGCAACCTCTGTTTCCTGGGTTCAAGCGATTCTCCTGCCTCAGCCTCCCGAGTAGCTGGGACTACAGGTGCGCGCTACCATGCCTGGCTAATTTTTGCATTTTTAGTAGAGATGGAGTTTCATCATGTTGGCCAGGATGGTCTTGAACTCCTGACCTCAAGTCCTCCACTCACCTCAGCCTCCCAAAGTGCTGGGATTACAGACGCGAGCCCCTGTGCCTGGCCTTTCTTAATGATTTCTAAGAGCTTTTTACAGACTAGAAATCTCAACCCCTTATATCACAGAGGTCTGACCTTAATGTATTAATGACTGGTGATCAAACTAATTAATAATTAGTTCAGATAGCCTAATGAATATCAATGATAATTAGTGGGTGATAGTTGAGCGTTCTGTCCTCTGCTCACAAGTTCTTTTCCACCAGCAGCTTGCTAAACTCCTTGACTCGGAATAGCCTGGCTCTTGTACGGACCTCCAGCGTCTTGTCCCCTCTGTGCTCTCCCAGTCTGCCCTCTCTCTTCAGTATGTAGCTTAGATCCCAACTTCGTCTCCGGCACTTTTCCAAGTTCGTAAATACCCTTGCAGTTTCATCTGTCTGGCCCTTTGGACTTTTTGCTGTACCTTGCTAGCAAAACCCTTCCTGGGTGACTTCACTATCTGCCCTCTCTCGGCCTGTTCCTACAAGCTGAGCATTGCAAGTCACATCATGGGCCCAGTTGAAACTCCAGTAAATTTCCAGTCATCGATATTCTGAAACGAGGAACCCTTGGCAGAGCCCCAGTAAGTTCCTGGTCATCGATATTCCAGGTCTTAGCCATCCCTGGTTCTTGGGTTCACTCTTTCTCCCACCTTCTCTAATGACTATTTTAATTTCTCCTCAAAACCCTGGCACTGCCTCGCACTGTACTCTTCCCCCATCATACTCTTTCATTTTCTGGATGCAGCATTTCCTTCTATGTCACAGAGTACTTAGGAGCCATTAGGTGGGAACTTCATCATCCTCCCATTCCCAAAGGTACCAGCCTGCTATAGCTGCGCACCTCCTGGGCTCCTTCTCCTGTGGTAACCACCGGGGTGCCATCTCCCCTCTGACCTCTTCACGCTTCGGATCCTCTCTCCTACTGGCTTCGTGAAACTTCACACTGTCAGTTAGCTCCTTCCTTTTTTGGTGTGTTCATCTCCTTCATCCCAATGCTAGTCTTCCAGTCAGCATTTGACATGCTCAGTCTCTCCTGTGTAAGTATCCTCTGGACCCCACGTTCTCCGTCAGCCGCCACTTTCAGAGTTGCGTGCAGCCTTCTTCACTTCCTCCCCTCTGCTTGTTCCTCACTTTAGCCCAGGCCTGACTTCTGTCCTCATCGCCCTTCTGAAACAGTCACGTCTCCAGATCTAACGGATGCTGCAGTCTGCCTCTTTCTTGACCTCTCAGAAGCATTTGACTTTATTGATTTCTTCTTAAACGTGCTCTCCTGTTGGTTTCTGTGATTACTCTGCTCTTCTGATGATTATGAAAGCTGTTAATTTACTATTCAAAACAATTTCAGTGTATTATTCAAAACAAGACATATGTTTCATTAAAGAAATAGGATTAGGCCAGGCGTGGCGGCTCAAGCCTGTAATCCCAGCACTTTGGGAGGTCGAGGCGGGTGGATCACGAGGTCAAGAGATCGAGACCATCCTGGTCAACGTGGTGAAACCCCATCTCTATTAAAAATACAAAAAATTAGCTGGGCACAGTGGCGCGTGCCTGTAATCCCAGCTACTCAGGAGGCTGAGGCAGGAGAATTGCCTGAACCCAGGAGGCGGAGGTTGCGGTGAGCCGAGATTGCACCATTGCACTCCAGCCTGGGTAACAAGAGCGAAACTCCGTCTCAAAAAAAAAAAAAAGACAGTGAGCTAACTAATGAATTAGATTAACAGTGCATATGAATGTTGAGAAAGTTAACTAGATACCTTTAGGAGAACACGTCCGTTTTGAGCCAATCGACATTTATAAAAATTCAGGAAATACAAGGCAGAATAATAAAGAGTAAATTATAGTATTGTTCTAATCTATAGAATTAATTGATTGAGATACTCTAGCATTCATAATCTTAAAGACAAATATTTAGTCACTCTGAAAGAAAATAAAGCTTGTTGACCGTCTCACTATCTGCAGTATCCCAGGAGAGCTAGCTGGCAGATGTTTGGCCTCCCTGCTGACTGGGGGGCAAGGGAACATCTATTTGGAATCACAGGCACTGCACAGTTGAGCAGCTGTGTTGAGTGAGCATACTGAGGGATTCTTATTTCTGCACTGCCTTGTCAAACCTGAACATTATTACCAAAATTTCTAATAATACAATTATAATTTTTTGATACTCTAAAAGTTGGGCTGGTATCCGAGAAATACATTAAGTGATAGCGATGCTCTCTGCTCAGCTTTGTCTGAATGTTGATCTTGCACTCAGGGTTCTGGCATTTAGCCTGAATGTACATTCAGTGTGCCTCTCAGTTTTAGAACGTCTTGATAGACGAATCTAATATACTCTCACTTATGTTCAAGTGCACAACCCAAAGGGTACTTTCATTTTCCTGAGATTGGACTTATTTTAGTGATAGTTCTATGTGCGGTGCCCTTCCATCCTTCTGTCTTCTTCCTTTGATTACGGAAGTATCAACTGTTCTTTGTTGCATGGTGTCCTAGTGTTCGATGATACCTGTGACAACTCCTTGTATTTTGTTTTAAGGATAAATCTAACATTATTAGAGCATTTGCTGTGTGCCAAAAACTGCTGTAAATGCTTCCATGTCTTAATGCTTTCAGTTCTTTGCCACTCCATAAAGGAGGAGCTACTGTTACCATTCTCACACTGGGACAGAGGTTCAGTAACTGCCTAAGGTCACCTGGCTCATGCGCAGAGCTGGAATTTGAACCAGGCGGATGCATAGGCATTCATGCTCCTCTAGTGAATGGTAGGAATGGCGAAAAGTGCTGTTTAGAACACCTGCTGGTTCACATGGGAGAGGGAAAGGATGTTGGGCCTGGAAGGGAAGAGCTGCTGGGATCTCTGAGGATTTCCCTACGCAGGAATATGGAACAACTCCCTTCCTTCCTGAAAAATACTTGATTAAAAGAAAATGTTGAGGAAACAGTAATACAAACTATCTGCAATGAATTTTTTTTTTAACTGTAATTGGTTTCCTAGTGTATTTGCTTAAACAATGAAGATTTTCTTATGTTTTAGGTTAAATTCATTTGTCCCAGTTAAGTATCTAATTAGTAAAGCTTCATTTCTGGAACCTACTTTCTTTGATTCACTGCACTCTTTCATATATTCGGGTGAAAAGATGTTACATGAATGGAAATGTGGACATTTGAATTTACGTTTTGTATCTTTGCTCTGTGCATATCATGACTGTCTTCCATCTAGGTGTATTTTTCTATTTCTCTGCCCCCTTATTCCCTGAATCTCAGTGGAGCACAGGAGTTGAGCTTGGGCTTTGGAGATGCAATGACAGAATTGGAACTTGCCTCTTCTATTTATTTGCTCGCTACATGACCTCTCTCTGCCTCGATACTCTTACCTGTAAAATGCGATATTAATTATATCTAACTATTGCTTACCATGAAATAATTAACATGAAGTATTTTGAACAGCATCTGGCACATGGTTAGCTAGTCTCATTCATTCCTAAATAAAGAGAACTGTGGTTAAAGCAGTATGATTTCTATAATTTCACATGTTTAGAAACAAATAATGTAACTATCAAATTTGCATATAACAGTTTGGTAACAGTTTGCATGTAACAGACTGTTATATGCACAGTCTGTTCACATTACCATAGATTTGACCACCTTATATCCATAAATCAGTTTGATAGAAAATTCCCCCCCAAAAGTTTTTTATAATAAACCAAGGATTGTGAAGGTCTTTGAATTACTAAAAAATGGGGGTGTTAAATTTATTTATTTAATTAATTTTTAAATTTGGTTGTGCTTTGAGATGGTCTTGCTCTGTTGCCCAGGCTGGAGTGTAATGGCATGATCTCTCCTCACTACAACCTCCGCCTCTTGAGTTCAAGTGATTCTCCCACCTCAGCCTCCAGAGTAGCTGGGATTACAGGCACACACCACCACACCTGGTCAATTTTTTGTATTATTATTATTTTTTTTAGTAGAGAATGGGGTTTACCATGTTGGCCAGGCTCATCTCGAACTCCTGACCTTGTGATCCACCCTCCTCAGCCTCCCAAAGTGCTGGGGACTACAGGCGTGAGCCACCATGCCCGGCCAGGGAGTGTTAAATTTAAAGCAATAGCAGTTATGATGCTCTTAGTTGTTAGAAATATGCTTGTATGAGTCCTTCCTAGAATCAAACGATACATCTTTTCCTGTTGAATGTGTCGTCATTGCTAAAACTGGCAGTAAAACTGTACTCAGCCAATCAAATGGGAAATGGGGTATGCATCACAGGATTGTCGTAGTGTGTGTTTGCTAATAACTTTTAGTGGTAGGGAATAAGGTTAAGGAGCCTGTCCTTGGTGACTTTATACTGCTTTCAATATGGCTTGTTGAAATGGCAGGTGATAAGCAGGGAGGGATATGGGACATCCATGCCTGTATTCTTGAATGAGGCGCATTCTACTCAACAGTATCAGGCTGATACTGCTGAAGGAGGCTGTAACTTGTAACTAATCTGAATTACACTATATGCTTTACTTTTTGTGTCTGTATACAATTTCAAGGTTGCATTTCATATACAGCTTGTACTTTTTTGATCTAGTTCTTTGTTTAGATAATCATGTCCTTTAAAACAGACAGACAACTCTTAAACACCTCTGTGGTCTTAATATAAAATCTATTCTTTGTAAAATTGAATTTTCTGGAATTTATTAA